AACCTGCTGCCCATTAATTTCATTTGGTGGCCTCTAGTTCTTATATTATGGGAACAAGTAAATAACTTTTCCTTATTCCCTGTCTCCACACCACTCATGATTTTATAGACCTCTATCATATCCCCCTTAGTCTCCTCTTTTCCAAGCTGAAAAGTCCTAGTCTCTTTACTCTCTCCTCATATGGGACCCATTCCAAACCCCTCCTCATTTTATCAGAGGGGTAGCCGTGTTAGTCTGAATCTGCAAAAGCGGCGAGGAGTCCTGTGGCACCTTATAGACTAACTGAAGTGTAGGAGCATAAGCTTTCGTGGGCAAAGACCCACTTCGTCAGATGCATGTAGTGGAAATTTCCAGAGGCAGGTAGAAATATGCAGGTCAGGATCCACCTCGTCATCTCCAGCCTGATCCTGGCCTGCATATTTATACCTGCCTCTGGAAATTTCCACTACATGCATCTGACGAAGTGGATCTTTGCCCACGAAAGCTTATGCTCCTACACTTTAGTTAGTCTATAAGGTGCCACAGGACTCCTCGCTGCTCTCATCATTTTAGTTGCCTTTCTCTGAACTTTTTCTAATGCCAATATATCTTTTTTGAGATGAGATCACATCTGTACGCAATATTCAAGATGTGGGCATACCATGGATTTATATAAGGGCAATAAGATATTCTCCGTCTTATTCTCTATCCCTTTCTTAATGATTCCTAACATCCTGTTTGCTTTTTTGACTGCCACTGCACACTGTGTGGACGTCTTCAGAGAACTATCCATGATGACTCCATGATCTCTTTCCCAATTAGTTGTAGCTAAATTAGCCCCCATCATATGGTATGTATAGTTGGGGTTATTTTTTCCAATGTGCATAACTTTACATTTATCCACATTAAATTTCATTTGCCATTTTGTTGCCCAATCACTTAGGTTTATGAGATCTTTTTGAAGTTCTTCACAGTCTGCTTTGATCTTAACTACCCTGAGCAGTTTAGTATCATCTGCAAACTTTGCCAGCTCACTGTTTACCCCTTTCTCCAGATCATTTATGAATAAGTTGAATAGGATAGGTCCTAGGACTGATCCTTGGGGAACACCACTAGTTACCCCTCTCTATTCCGAAAATTTACCATTTATTCCTACCCTTTGTTTCCTGTCTTTTAACCAGTTCTCAATCCATGTAAGGATCTTCCCTCTTATCCCATGATAACTTAACTTATGTAAGAGCCTTTGGTGAGGGACCTTGTCAAAGGCTTTGTGGAAATCTAAGTACACTATATCTACTGGATCCCCCTAGTCCACATGTTTGTTAACCCTTTCAGAGAACTCTAATAGATTAGTAAGACATGATTTGCCTTTACAGAAACCAGGTTTCCCAAAAACTTCAATCAAACACACTGGTTTAGATAAACAATAAAACAGGTCAGAATTGGCTAATAAAGAAATAAGAAGACAAAACTGCAATCTAATTCCTAAACTTTAGAACAAATAGTTCTAAAAGCAAAACAGGTTGTCTCACCATTAGCTGCAATACATTTCACAGGCTGTATCTTCTTCCAGCCGGGGATCAGTCCTTACTTCTGTGGTCTTTAGGTGTTCACTGATGTCACGAAGAGCAAAATGGCTTTCTCCATGCATTGTAACCTCACACCCACTGTACATCCAAGGTTGTGCTATGTGGAGAAAAATGGCATTCTCTGTAGACTAGGGATTGTTATGTGGCCCCATCTTCTGATGGTGTGCACACACAGTTAGGGGTCACCACCCACAGGTTGGGAACCACTGACTTGGGGTCATGGTAGAAACCAGCTGAACATGATCTCACAGTGTGAAGTAGGGGCTAACATTTCTAATGCTACCCTTGGATGCATAGGTAGGGGAATCCAGAGTAGAAGTAAGGAGGCATTATTACCACTGTATAGTGCCGTAGTAAGATCATAGCCATACTTTCAAAAGAGTGTTAACAATTTGAAAGGATTCAGAAAAATGCTGAAAGATTGAGTACGGGTCTGGAAAATCTGCCTTACTGTGAGAGGCTAAAGTAGCTCACTCATTTTCAGTTAAGAGTTGACTATCTATGACTGCCTACATGGTGTGAAGATTTCTGTCAGTAAAGAGCTGTTAAATTTAGCAAAGACTTTTATAAAAAGATCCAGTGGCTAGAAGCTGAAGCTAGACAAATTCAGATGGAAAATAAAGCACAATTTATTTACAATATAGATAACTAACCACTGGAACAAGTTTCCTAGAGATCTGGAGGATCCCCCATCACTTGAGGTCTTTAAATCATGGCTGGATGCGTTCTAAATTATATGCTGTAGCTCAACTAGAAGCTATGGTCTCGCTGCAAGAACCAAGTTCTGTAGCCTGTGTTAAGAAGAAGGTGAGACTAGATGTCCACATAGTAGTCCCATGTGGCCGGAAATCTATCTTGATGAAAATCTATGAACCTTTAGTAAAAAATGGAATAATCAGAAAAGTGAGTTTTGACCATAGGTGTGGAGGTAAAACAGCAAGCATGTGATCAGAATGAAATAAAAGATCTCAAGTCTTTCTGGATTAAGGAAAACAAACTCAATGTGTGTCTTGGAAAATATGGGAAACCAATGCTAAATGAAAATATTAAAATTATGGTACAGAAAATCAGATGCTTTGATGTCCTAGCTTTTTTCATTGAACTCTGGATCTCCAAAGCTTTGAATCTGAAGATAAGTTTTCTTAAACAGAAAAGCATTACCAATCAGGGTTGCCAGGCATCCGGTATTGACCTGGACAGTCTGGTATTTTCACCTTCTGTCTGGTTAAAAAAAAAAATTCAGAAAAAAACGGTATTTTCTGATTTTTGTCCGGTATTTTCTGATTTTTTTTCCCTGCCAGGAGGCGAAAATACCGGACACCTGGCAACCTTACACATACTCAGCAACCAGGCCCAACCTCCGGTGCCCCCCCCCAGGATCTCCTGCTACACCGGTTCTGCAGGAAAGCTGTCTTTTGGCTTGATCAGGAAAACAAGATGGCCACCGGCAAAAAGCTTCAAAGGCTTTTCTTAAAGGGGCCATGCTGTTTTATTTTTAATTTTTAATTTTTTTTGGCTTAACTCTCGGGGTACTTTTTTTTGTCTCAACAACTTTGGTCTCCCCTCCTTTTTTCTCCTCAACAGATTTTTCCCCCCTATTTGGAGGGGAGGGGGTGTTTGGTATTTTTAGTTAAACCATCTGGCAACCCTATTACCAATCCACAAGGAAAACAATTTTATCAAACCTAGAGCTGGTCTGAAAATGGAGTCTTTTTCCATGGAAAATTTTGTGGCATTTTTGGTTGAAAGTATTTCAGATGAAAATCAAAATGAGTTGAAAACAGTGCCATGATACCTCATGGGAGTTGTAGTTTGTGAGTCCCATAATTCCATTCTCTTCTACAGACTGGGTTTCTGATGTTTCCTATGATGTACCAAAGTCTTTGCTCTGGAAGAAGGGAGGTGGTACATCATGGACATCCCTGACCATGGTGCATAATGGGAGCTACAGTTTGGCCAAGAAACCCATCTCATAAAGCAACTGAACTACAACTGTTGAGGCACTGTGACAGCATATCCACCCAATCATACTCGGCTCTCAGCCAACATTTTCAGTTTTCAAATGTTTGGGGTTTCTTCTACAAAAAAAAAAAAAAGTTTTCCATGGAAAGCAGACACTTCTACAGAAAATGTTGTTTAGTTGGAAACTGATTTTTCATTGAAAATTGTTTTGGCAGAAAAGGTCTGACCAACCCTAACTGAACCTCTTAATTTATGAACAATGACACATTCTTATATACCAGTAGGTGGCACTCATTCTGTTAATTATCTACATTCACACAGTGTTCCTGTCACACCACACTGGTGGAAAGTGCCTTCACACCACACTGCTGGGAAAGGGAATAACTTAGTAACTAATCCCAAAAATATTAATATTTGACTGATGGGGATAGAGAATTATGTTAGTAGTGCAGAAACAGGCTTTCTTTTAAATGTGTGTGTGTGTGTGTGTGTAAACACACACACACATATATATATAAGTAAAGGTGTATGAATATTCAGGTGTCAGCCCTGTCATACAGGCGAAGTTTCCTAATGTATCAGGAATTCAAAAGTTTTGATGTTATAGCTACTTTGCAGGACCTGAAGAAAAGCCAGGTCAAACATCAAGCTAAAATGTAGTTATTTGGGAGCATTTCTAGAATGGGAAAACTTAAATAAAATTATATTTGTTGTTATTGCTACCAGAGGAAGTCTGGATTTGAATCTGGAAGGAGAGGACTAGAGCCTGTTACTCTGAGAAGTGAAATGAGCCCTTTTTGACAGCTAATATTCTATTAGAGAACAGAATTTAATTTTGAGTATCACTCCAATGCATGTGCATTGCTTATTGATACACATGAACCTTGCAGACAATACTGCCCTGTCAGGACAAATGTGTGCTTAAATGTTACTCATAAGTTATTGCTTCTTAATGTATGATGTATTGCTAGGGTGAGTAAAAGGACTGTTCTTTTCAAGTATAGTAACAAAACTGTTTCTTGCTGAATATATTGGACAAACTCTTAGCAGATTATTTTAATTTTTGACCAGATGGTAGTGAAAAAAATTCACAGACATGATCAAATTTGTTAGTCTCCCCCCCGCAATGTCTTCTGCACCGTGCTTTATGAACAGGTCAGTGTTGAGTGGTGGGATTATGACATCAGAGCTAAACTCCCCTATAAACAACTCAGGGTTTTTGTGAGTGGTGCTATTGGGTACCAAGAAACCAGCGATGCAGCCATTTCTGTAGGTATGTTTGTTGAGGGGCAGGAGAGTGGGCATGGATATTGACCACACAAGCAAATAAAGATATGTTGTACATTTCTAGATATCAAAGCTGTGTTATCCCTTCTTCAAGTTAACCAAGGTGTTCTTCAGTGAGAACAAACAGTAACTACGTTTATTAGGCAGAAGAGATATGACAATTGTATCAGTTACAGAGCTCTCTCCTCCATTATGATACATATGCTGTCCTGTCTTTTGTATGAAATGTGCCAATACCATGGTGAGGGTGCATCAGAACTATGTAGAGAAGAAAAAGGATCTGTGTCAAAACTACTGGCTGTGTTACACCGTCACACTACTGATCCTGGTGCGTAAATATTACCTGTGCTAGTAGCCACAGTGTAATGTCTGCTCTATGTATGAAACAATTCTTGGGCCTGATTCTCTTCTTATGCGGGTAACATAACAGTGTCACCTCACTGGCAGGAGTAAATCCTGATTAGCACTGGTGTAATTTAGGGGGGCAAAGGAGTCCTAGGGGGGTATACTGTGGTGAAACAGGGGCTCGAGGGGCATGCACAAGCGTGACACGGGGGCTGAGGGGTGTGTAGTGGGATGACACCGGGGTGATGAGGGGCACATACCAGGAAGACTGAGGGGCATGTACTGGGAAGACTGAGGGGTGGAGGGGTATATACCAGGCTGACACGGGGGCGGGCGTGCATGTGCCAGGCTGACACAGGGGTGGAGGGAGTGCGTACTGGACTGATGGGGAGAGCAGAGGGGTGCGTACCGGGCTGACATGGGGAGGTGAGGGGGCGCATAATGGGAAGACTGAGGGGTGTGTACCCCCCTGAGGGGGAGAGCAGAGGGGTGCGTACCGGGCTGACATGGGGAGGTGAGGGGGCGCATAATGGGAAGACTGAGGGGTGTGTACCCGCCTGACACAGGGACACACGGGGGGCGGAAGGGCGCGTACCGGGATGACACG